TCTTCAGCGTCGTCGGAGATGTATTTTCAAGGAAGTGGGGAAAGATAACTCATGAAAACTTCGAGATGCAGTTATTGCTTAAGTGCAAGGACTACTAAAAAGAAAACAATAAACCGTGAAACAAAAGCAGTTGTGTATTTGATCGTCAAAGTAACGTGAAAAGTAACTCGGTACTTTTGAGGTAACTCACGCGTTCCTTTTGAGAATCGGTAACGAGTAACGTATTTAGTTACTTTTTGAGCGAGTAACGAGTAACGGTATTTAGTTACTTTTTTGGAGTAACGTGTGCATATCTGGACGGGAGCTTTTTGACACGCCGTCCCGGAGGAGTACCGGAACCGGCGTCGCGTCAGCCAGACGAGGTTTCTGCAGTTTTTTTTCACGCGTGGAACCGAGAATCGCGCGACAAAATGAACTAGCGAACGCACGAAACACAACGATACGGCATTTTTTTTTGTAATCGTCCAAAAACAAAACGAAACAAAAAAAAAAAAGCAAGAAAGAAGTGTACTGTTGCCAGACTAAACGCTTTTGAAGTCAATCTACCGCCAAAAATTCGCGAGTCAGAAGGTGCTCGACTTTAGCAGTCCGTGCGTCCGCGGACGAGGCGCGAATCGCAGGAATCGGTGACGTGCCGGTCACGTGGTTCACAGTCCGCGGACGAAAATCGCGATTCGGTCCGTCGTGTGAATCGGCTAATACTGACAAAGCCTGACAGATCACCACGAGACGCGGCCGCCGAAAGTGAAAAGGTAGAACGGCAGACAAGAGGCATGTACCGGGCGCCCCGCTGCGGCGAGACGCCGAAACACACTTGTCCCGAGCGGTGGAATGTCCGCTCGTGCTTCTCGCGTTCCTCGGCCTACCGCTTCTTTCCTCGTCGGGTTTGAAAACCATGTTTATGCTTCTCGCCGCTGCAAAAGCGGTGCGCTGAATAACAGACTCCCCTAGAGTGCCTTCATACACACGCGCGCTTTTGCTTGAGTGGTGACATCTCAGCCATTTTTCCGCCCAATCGTTTTTTTATGCATTTTGAAGTGCGCGCAATCCGGTGTCACTCCGCTCGAGCGCGTAGCTTTGGCTGATGCATAGACGCCATCTTACCGCCCAAGTCACGCACCGAGTGCGCGAGAGCACCACGCGCTGGCACATTCAGGACCAACAATGGATGTCTTCACCCTCAGACAGACAGACATGGAGGCACCCTACCGCCGAATTCAGAAACCTCACTCAAACTACACTCAAACTGAAGGGCCCCTCCACTTCCTCGAGGAAGGCGCGAGGGCCGGCGCTGGCCAATCGCGACGGCCGATCCGTCCTCGCGATTGGCCAGCGCCGGCCCTCGTGCCTTCCTCGAGGAAGTGGAGGGGCCCTTCAGTTTGAGTGTAGTTTGAGTGAGGTTTCTGAATTCGGCGGCTAGACTCCCCTAGGATGCCTCCACTTACCGGCCGCTCCGCTGACGGGGCACGTGGAGACACCCGCCCTTTTGTGGCGAATTTGGCGATGCTCTCACCGGCGTCCATACTGCGTCTATCTTTCCCGAACTTTCGCTAAACACAACGTTTTTGCACCACGACTTTGTCACACAGACTCTACAGGACCCACACCCAATGTGGAGCTAATGCTGACCTTAGGCGCCATATTGTGGCGCTCCATTGGCTCCATTGGTGCCTCTCCCCTGTCGACGGAAGCGGCCGGCGGATGGAGGCACCCTAGACTCTCCGAGAAATGCTCTCTGCTATGGGGCGCTCTGACCCGTTTGTTTTCCCCACGCTCGGTGTTTACTCAACACAGGGCCGGTGCACATGAAGACAGGCCTTGTGGGCATGTCCATGTCATCTTCTACAATAGAGCGCGGGGCACAGTGTAATGTATAAAATACTAACAATCGACGAAGCGACGTTAAGTGCCGGGTCTATCCTCAGAGAATGCGAGCTTGACGCACTTCGGCTTTTGTGCTGAGCTGGGACCGTGCATGCTGCATTGTTCATACAGGCCGTAGTGGAAACAAAAGAGCCCCTCCTCCCCCTCACCGGAGAACACGAACTCCAGCCGGTTATGTCGGCTGAGCGCTGAGTCATTGTATTTGTTGTCCCCATCCGTGTAGTTGTAAAGTTAACCGCTTGGGGCGTCACGGTCTGTCCTCCTCCCCAATACCAGACCAGTCACATCTTTAGATTTCCTTTGTTTATAAGACCTCTTTGGGCCCTGACCTGATAGGATAAGAATAAAAATGACACCGCCCCGCACTCTAAAAATGTTTGTGCGTCTACTTTCACGCACAAAACTTGGAGAGCCAATCACCGCAACTTACGGAGGCAGCTCAGCGAATGACAACGCCGAAACATATGTTTAGACCAAAAAACGCAGTCCGAGTTCTGACATTAAGCAACGCAAAACGTCACGCTTGCATTGCTTAATGTCACAACTCAGACTGAGTTTTTTGGTCTAAACATATGTTTCGGCATCGTCATTTGCTAAGCTGCCGCCGTAAGCTGCGGTGATTGGCTCTCCGGGTGGTGTGCGGTAAAGCAGACTCACGGGCTTTCTTCAGAGTGCGCCAGAGCCGTATATGTGGAGAGTTTGGTCAATGGGAGGCGCGGGCAGAGTCAGGGCGTGCGGCAGACTCATAAAGAGGGCTTGGCATGCTCTCTTGACCAACCAGAAGCCGAAAAGAATCCCCTAGCGGTGGTAGCGAGAAACAGTTCTGATCGAAGGTCTATGTTCGTATGTGGCTTTAATAGGTGCGTAAGAGTGAAGTGTAGTAACTCTTCGTTGTTGAAAATAGGGTGCACGTGTTGTTTTGATCATGATCATGCAGAAAGATGTAAGAAACGAATAAGCCGCTCAACTCTGTTTTGCGCGGACAGTGTGTGACCGCTCGGACGGCAGATTCCCGGCCTTCGGCGTTTGGCGTACGGATTATGTCGATCGTTCCCCTAGTCGCACTCTTCCACCATCATTTTTGATGAGCGTGATTGGTACATCACGTGTACCATATTTTCAGCCATCGAGAGTTACTCCAATGCAGTTATCAGGGTTTTTTTTTTCTCGCAACCACCGCCAGGGTAATATTTCCGACTTCTGGTTGGTCACATTCGAATTTCTGAAGACGCCCTGGAACACGGCCAGCCCGGTTTCGGCCAATGGCGCCTCCTCATTTGTCTCCTATACTTCCCAACGAATGGCCAAACTCTCTACATATACGGCGCTGGAGTGCGCCAACGTCCTGGCATTTTTAATAGAACAGGTACAACATTTTTAATAGAACAAGTACGCTGTTTTTGCCGCTGCTCAATTCACTTAGGAATTAACCAAGCTCAACATGTCATTAAAAAAACAATCGGTTAATACGACAGTTGTTGTTCTGACGATTTTTACTACAACTCTCGAACAAATACCTGTCTTTTAATGGTGATATTTTTTTGAAGGCGAAAATCCGGAGCTCGTAGCTTTATCTTTGGAAACTGCTCCTGCTGATCGAGAGTTCGCGCAGCCGAGATACATCCTTCAGAAACGAATAGCTTGCGCTGGCGGCCTAGTGGCGGAATTGTTGTACATTACAAAAAGCTGAGAAGCAAAATATAAAGTGAAGCGAAGGGCAATTGAACAAAGATAAGTATAAACTATGTGAATGCGTTAAAAGAGCAGAGCTACATTTCGAGCGAAAACTAATCGACGAGATGAGATCACTATGGCATGGCGCCTGCCATTTGTAGCGCTCGAGACATGGGAACCGGGACTCGTAGCCGCTTGACTCGCGGGCCGCGTCCCAGCGAGTCGCGGGTCGCGTGTTTGAGACCCCTGTTATAGTGCAATACTATTGAATTGAATTGACTTGGTTTTATTTAAACGTTAGGTCTAGAGTAAGAGGGCAAAAGGCTCATCGATTCTGCCTGACGTGGCCCACCCGTTTACGCTGCTCAGCGGGCGAAAACAAAAACAATAAACATTGAAGTACAAGAAGGTATAATAGCGCACGTACAACAATCTACACCGATATTTTGTAAAGAGCTTATACAATCGCTAGTGCACTTCTTAAGACTTTGTAAATAAATGAACCAGGTACTACAATGCCAACGTAATTAAAATACAATCTAAAAGTATTTGCTCATGTGACATGACGTAAGGTGCTGCTTTATACTATTTTTAAAGCTCTGTTTTGATGGACAATCTGAGATTATTTTCCTAACGGCTGGATGATTGTTTAAGAAATCAGGTATTAAGCATGCTAGTTGGTGTTGTCCATAATTCATCCTAGACCAAGGTATTCTTTAGAAGCCGTGTCGAAGATTGTATTGTGTATTACTAGGAAGAAGTCCGTCAAAAAAAGAAAAAGAAACAAAAACGGGTGGGGTCATTAATTATTTTGTTATAGAAATGCATTGAAAGTTTAAGAAGGATGACGAATGGTAAGAAAACTGTGTTTAAACTATGCTGTGTGGTCAGTACGCTGAAGGTTTTCTGTACACCGTATTGCTTTTCTTTTTGCAAAACAAAACAACCTATCAATATTTGTTTTAGTTTTTGAACCCCAAACTAATAGACACTAATGGAGAAGAAAGTACACTAAAGTATAGCACAACTGACGCTTTAACCAGGATGTAATCAATAATCTAATTATGTATAAAACACCCATAGACCTCGAGGTGCTTGCATGAATTTTATTTATATGAGGTGTTCAGCTTAGATCTTCTTCAAAAAGAACTCCTAAGAACTACAGTGTCGCATAACGCACTGTACACCAACTCGCTGCTTACAAACGAGCGAGCGTTTGCCCACGTTAGGGTGGGCATTGCGGGTGCAGAGAAACCATATTCGCGTGAAATTAAGCTTTTGCGCATGCGCATTGCTCACAGCAGCGCCACCGTAGTGACTTGACGTCAGAGAAACCGCCTTTTTGTTTAAAGCGCCCGCAATTGTTTAGTTCGAGTTCTCTCCACGAGATGGCGCCGGACGTCTCAGCAGCGCGCCCATGTTGCCAACCCGCTGCCTTCGTCGTCCGCCGGAGGCGTACGAAGAAAAGAGAGGCAAGGTCCCCCCTTCCCTGCTTTCCGCACCGATGCGAAGTGGAGTGCACGTAGGTAGATCACGTCCCGCCACGGAACGACCTACTTGGCGAAAAAAAAGAAAGAAAGACAGAGGGGCTCTGCACTTCGATTTTGTCCCGCACCGTGGTCGCAGATCGCGACTTTCCAGCGACGAAAATTCCCCAGGACTTCGTGTGTATCACGTCGCGGCAGGCAGGCAACCCGTCGGCTCCTTTCTTTCTCGGCAACGTCCGTCGGAAAGTTTTTATTTGCTTCTCACCCTCGCTGAAAAAACAGGTTCTGCGTGGGCTGCTTCGGAGGAGGTCGGCAGCGACGGCGTCGATCATCGAAGGTGAGTTCGCTCTATCTATTCGTCGAACGACTTTCCGGATCTTGTAAGTTTTCGAAGCTGTCAGTTGTCTATAAGTGATAACAAGTTCCTAAGTTTGAGCTATCTTCTCGCACGAAGTTTTGGGTTACCTCTGTCCGAGTATTTCTCCTGTTTCTGTCCGTCCCCCTTGCTATCTGGGATGCGTGTGCTCGTCCGCGGTGTCCCTACGTGTGCTAACCGTGAATCGTTTTTGTCAAAGTTCACCGACAAACAAACACCGTATTCAGTTCCTATATTTTTCTGTGTATAATATTTTTAATTCATTTTTCTTCCTCGCCCTAATTTGTGTTTTTCGCACGCGTGAAAACGTCAGTCGCGCGGAGGAATGCGACCGCCTCGAATTTCTCGGTAACTTTGCGAGGTTTCGTTGCAAGGAGCGACGAAACCTCGCGAAGTTACGGAGAGACGGTTGTTGCGTGCGAACGATCTGAATTCTCTTTCATTTTGTAGAGGGTAGAGTGTTTTTCCTTCTTTGTTTACCCCAAAATTAACATTGCAATCGCGTTTTGTTGCGCTCGTAAAACCGCGTCTCATGGATATGAATGGCAATCCGTCGCAATTGTGTGACGGTATCAGGGGGATTATATTCTCTTCGTAATGAAGACTAGCTCGACCTCATTTTCTTTACATATGTCGCGCACTTTTTTCAACGAATAAAAAAAATGCAAACTTCCAGAAACGGTTTTTGTTCCGTTATTGTAGCTTGAAGATAATCATTCCGTTTATGGGAATATAATATTATTGTCTGATTACACTTTAAATGTCTAATTTCATTACTACGCGAATATATTTTACAAACATTCTCCAGACTATAAAAAGTATACCGCAAATATTCCGCTTAAAAATAACACGCAAAAAGTGGCGTTTTTTTTTTCTTTGACAGCTCCGTAAGGCACGCAAGATGATAGTCGGTTTCTGTTTGTTTATATATATATATAGTTGTATTCCCCAAAGGTACATAGTACATTAGAGAAGGGACTGAGAACACAAAATGAAGGCTGAGGTATTTTCACACACGTTTGAAAAGGAAACAAGGATATACATTAACCCCTTCCTTATGTAGCGTAACTTGTCGCAATGGGGTTTTCCGAGCTGACAGGTTTGAACATCCAGTCGTGCGGTGTTGCCACCGTTGACCGTAACAACGTCTACAGGGTTATCTGTTTTGGCGTGATAGCAGCCGTACGAACGACCCTAATCAGATCAACGGTTCGTTTCGAGTGCTTCTGACAATCGAAACGCTGCTATCTGGCAGACTGCTAAAGCTTCGTGGCATGACTGCCTGCCACAACACGAGGACAGAGACCGGTAATATACGTTAACTGCCTTGTGTCAGACACGCACTCTTTACCCAAATAAAGTAAACAAAATATATTTATTCGTATACTCACTGAAAATTTATCGTATAGTAACTTTACTCATTAATGCGATTCGGAGTGAAAGCGTTACGTCAGCTTGAAATAACGCGTGGTTTTTCTCGTTACCCTGAGTGTGTCTATTTTATGAATCAGTAGCCACTTCCAATATGTGTTGTCCTTAATAATTCCTTGTTATTTAACGCGTTCGTTCAGGGATAGCTGCCTCTATCTATACACATATACCTTGTACACGTCTTTTTATGGTCTACCTACCGTTTTTTTGGCTTCTTTGTTGTTGTTGGGCACATCACAGGCACGAGCTGGGGTGAGAACTAAATTGGGTACTACTACACGTTCCCCTCCAGAAGTAAATAAATACCGTTACTCCTTACTTTATCGAGAAGTAGCGAAAATACGTCACTAGTTCCTTCGCTTAAAAAGTTGCTAAATCGTTACATGCAACTGAAAAAAAAAAAAAAAAGTATAGCTAACTTGTTACTTACAAGTCTGCTTGTAGTAGACGTACTCACGTTTTTGACGTCACAACAACGCGTGGTGCTGGCTGCGACGTCACGGCTTTTTGCGTACGCCAGTGCTCGCAGCTTTTGCATACGAGCACGCTTGTTTATAAACGATGACTTGGTGTACGATTAGCGTGATTTCAATAAGTGTGATTTTCTTCGTTGGTTTGGCGCGCAATCGAACACTAAATTTGGATTCCAATCGGCGTATTTCATGCGTCCCATACGTCAACCACAGGTTACATGGAGAGTTTACTTACTTATTTGCTCATTTAAAGTATTCATCAACAGCTAAAAGACGAGAATATATGTATATTTATGCGTAATGCAAGTTACAATAAACTGCGAAATCTGAGTTTACTCCTGTTGAAATTTAGTTGTGCAGTTATGCGAAGTTTTAACACGTACTGCCCTAACGAGGGCTGCTCCCGCGGCTGTTATCTTCCGTGGGGCTTCCACTGTTGTCTGTCCTCATATCTCCGTGAATTCAAATTGGTAACACTTCCTAGGTGGTAAGAGACACCGCCGGCTTAAGAGTTCAACCGTATCCATTCATTCATCTTGACAAGCCCATTAATTGGCGTTTAGTTACTTACTTTTTTACGAAAAGCATCCGGCCGTTTTCTGTTCGGGTGTTCGGTGAAAGCCGTGGAACAGTCGTTGAAAGATGGCCAGATGTCCGTGGCGCTAAGATAAATCGCTGGTCCTTCATACAAATTCAATTAATAAACAGCGACGACAATGGCAGAGACGACGCCGAACATGGGAGTGCACTTATGGCCAACCAGCAATCTGTTTTTCTTGCCGCCGAGTGGCCACACATCCTTCAATTCAGTCCATTGGCCTATATGCTTCGTTTTACGTTAAAGAGTACTGAATAAAAACTTAAAATATATAAAAAAATCGAGTGGCAAATCAAATAGGGTAAGATAAGATAAACCTGTAATTGATAATCGCCTGGTTGCATTTTAAGCGAATGGCGATATTATCCGTTCTAAATGCCTGGATTTTGGCGAGCGCCTCAAAATCAGCCGTGGAAGAGCGCGATGCATCTCGGGAGACGTCACCATGCCACGGAGGGCAAAGAGTACCGTAGTTATGAGTTTTGCCGCTTGGAGGCGTCAACGTGTTGCAATCTCACTTAGTCGAAGTACCCGAGGGCTGTAGCATACCGCGGAGCTGCCTCGAGTGTGCGGTGGCCGACCAACGCGTCAAGTGCGGTGGGAATAATGACATTAATGAGGACGAAGACACCGTTACATCACCAGTGGCCATAATGGCCGAGATGCGATCCAGCCTAGAGTTGCACTCCTACGACCCGTCAACCTTGTCTTCGTCGTCCGCAACAGGTAACATACCTTATTCACGAAACTATCTTACGCACTTTTTATGGTGAAATCTACATCGCTGGCAACATCGCTCGCTTACGTCGTCGCGACAACCAACGTGCATTTCTATGTGCTCTCTGTGCGCGCCAAAACTTCAAGCGGAAAGAGAAAATAAGAAAAAGAAATGAAAGCCGTTTACAAATCCCTGTAACGCCGAATTGGAGCGCAGCTCTTGAGGAGGAGTAGGGAAGGGTACTGAGGGGGTCACGTCACCTGCGGGTAGTCACGTGACCCCGGGGGTTCACGTGATTTCGGGGGAGGGGGGGTCACCTCCCCCCCCCCCCCCCCGGTTACGCCGACGGCGACGGCGACGCCGCTCAAGCTGGAAACGGGCCCCTAAGAGCTTCGCTCTAAAAATACTTGAAACTGAACACAACGGCGGAGACAAACACTGGAACCAGAGATACCTGAAAAAGCTACAACGGTAACGATCCCATCGACCAAGCGACCACCAAGGACTATCTAGGAAAGCTAGGCCTAGCAAAACACTTCGACGACCCGGGACAAGACCATCTGCTCTCGACCGGTTGGCTTGATGAAGGAAATATGCCCACGCAACCTTTATGGACCCTTCTTGTATGCATAGTTTGACCTCTGACCTCTGCTTTGGGGTAACAAGGTCATTCTTGCGTCGTCGTATCTAGCTTGTTCTCAGATGCAGAGGTGTCGAACGCTCTCGTCGATTCTGTCTCCTTTTTTGTAGAGCTCGAATAAACGCCACATAGATTGCCTTCGCAACATGGGTACGTACATGTTTTTTAGTCCGTCATTTTATTCCGATATGACGGTACGCCAACACATGTCGAGATTTATAGCAATAATTGGGAGCCTCAATGGCGGTCCAATCTCTCTCCGCCGAGCGTCATATCAGCATCGAGTTGCGATTGTCTAGAGGCCCAGCGGTTCATGTAAAATTGGTTGTAAAATATCGCTCCCGAACTGGTTACCAAGAGCGCAAGGCCAATGTGGTTCAGCTCCCAGTGCGAACAGATATTTAGGTGGATCTTGCTGACACTCTTTTAGTTCGAACGTATCTTTCTGGACGTCGGCTCTCTCCTGCATCCCCGAAGCCACAAAAAACGCCGCAGCGGTTTGTTTACGTCTGCGCCGCTTTGCGGAGCCGCACGGGACGTCTCCTTTTAGCAACGATGGTAGTTGTGTTGGCTTCTTAGCCATCGAGTTTGTTGCAATCGACCAAGGCGGCTATCCCGTCATCAAAAGAGGTGGGCATTCGGACTCCTTTAAAAAGACATTTCGTGGCGTCGCCATTGTAGCACGGGCACAATCCCCAAACCACTCCAAACAAGCGTTTCCGGAAAGGCTACCGGATAGTAAAACTATAATAGTGACCAACTCTGCTGTTACTTTCTCCTACAAAGCGCCTCGGTACTACGTTCAGGCCTCAGTAATATCTATGAGTGAGCGTACTTCCCGTTGTGGCGGTGCTCTCACTAACATGCTGTGGTCACCACATTCCAACGAACCTTCACAGACATTCACGACGTGGTTTTCGGCTATCGTTTTATTCAGCTTAAAATGCGTTTTCTCGCGGTATCCTACGAAATATTGACGTTGGTGAAGTCCTACTTTAACCCGCGTCATGTTTGACCAAAGAGATGGGCTCCGGAATTTTGTTTCCCTACCTCTCTAAGTCTGACCACAGCCGACGCTACGATCTAATGGAACCAAGCAAG